AACTCTACTCCTTGCCCCCCACACAATAAAACAAAACAACAAACTCCCATAAATACAGTGGGTGATGAAGTTTATGAGGATGTGCTTCACTGCAATAAAGCTATGCAACATTCTTTATTAAAACAAACTCTTTAATGACATTAGCTGGCTTTTTAAATTCTAACTGCATTGGTTCTGAATCTTCACAATTCTATGGAGTAGACCCTGTTCCTGTCCTCATCTTACAGTGGAGGAAATACCCTGTGAGACCAGGAATAACGTGCCAAAGAGTACACCCAGAGGGGAGCGTGGCCAGGGCGTCTAGTACCGATACTCTTAGTGCCACATCCCCACCTGTTTTACTTATTTTCTGCAACTTCCTGTGATTCTCTAATTTAATTGAATACAAATAATGTTCATAATGAGACCAGCCAGAATGATGAAGTTAAGTTATTTGCTTCTTTTTAGTTCCCATTAAACATAGTCAAGAGGTTCTATTTATGAGTACCGTGCAAAGCTTTTATCCCCTTTATGGGATTGAATCCCAACTCTCTTTTCCTTACAGAATGAATCTGAGGGAAAACAGTTATGGCCCAGAATCCTATTCGCTACCTGGAGTCAGAAACTCCTTGAAGTTTGCTTAGAGGGTTGAGTTCACTTTCTGGGGCTGTGGGGGAGGATTGGTCTCTTCTTACAGGGCATCTAGAGAGAGTAGGTTTCTGCAAGAAATAATTGTTATCCCCAAACTCTAAAACTTAAGCAACTTTTAGCATTACATAACACAGTATCAAGTTTCTCTTAGAGATACATATATTATGGTCAAGTTCAGGATCCCAGCCCAACCACCTTTGGTCTGGTCTTTGTCTCAGGGATAAAAATCTCCCAGAAGGCCACAGGTCACTCCCTGGTAAACTGTTATTTTCAGCTGGGCTGATTTCAGTAACAGTTGCTGCATAAAAAAGAGAACTTGGAAAAAATGGCTTTAATGCTTATTACTCCCTAAATTCACAGACTGATTTTTGTTTTTTAGGGTAATAGACTCATACCTAGAAATACATGGTTCTTTGTTAGTTCTTTGCAAGGGAAAGAAAAAACGAGTTACCCAAATTGCTGTGTTAAGAGCTTAGAACAACAAAGCATGAAGTTCTTCCTTTGGCCCAGATGAGGGCACTGCTATCCTCTTCCTACTTATTTGCTTACTCTGTCCTCTTATGGTTCATCGATTTGCTCCAGTGGGCACCAGTAAGGTATATTGTGAGGCTTGTTTCTGTTCTTGGCATATAGAATACGCATGGGGAACTTGCCAGGCTCTGACACGCGGGCGGGATACTCTCGGTACCTTGCCGGGCTCTCCAAGAGGGATGGAGGAATCAAACCAGGGTCGGCCGAGTGCAAGGCCTCTACCCTCCAGCCCAACTTGCTTACTTTAGGTGACAAAAAGTCACCTAAGGCCATAACACTGCCACTGCAATTAGTCAGGTTGGGTGACAGCAGCTGGTTTGCTTAACTTAAAGTCAATTTATATTTAGATGCTTCATTTTTCTGTTATGATCTCACCTCCAGTTACATTGATGGATTTTCTTTTTCTTTTTCTTTTTTTTTTTTTTTTAAATTTTATTGAATCACCATGAGATAGTTACAAGCTTTCATGTTTGGATTACAATCACACAATGATCAAACATCCATCCCTCCACCAGTGCAAATTCCCCACCACCAAAATCCCTGGTATACCCCCCCTTTCCCACCCTCCCCCTGCCTCTATGGCAGACATGATTCCCCATAATCTCTCTCTACTTTTGGGCATTATGGTTTGCAATACAGACCCTGAGAGGTAATAATGTTTGGTCCTTTATCTTCTTTCTGCACACAACTCCCATCCCCGCCGATTTCTCCAGCCATCTTTTTTCTTAGTGATCCTTTCTCTATTCCATCTGCCTTCTCCCCTTTGCTCATGAGGCAGGCTTCCTGCTATGGAGCAATCTATCTGTCCCGTGTATCTACTATCCTTAGGTCAATCTCATGTTATATTGTTTTATACTCCACAGATGAGTGTAGTCCATGCCTATCACTTAGGGAAGTTCAAGAAACATAAATTCCCAGAACATCCCAGAATTTCTAATTCAGTTGTCCACAGGTTGCCAAGGAGTCAGTCTCTTTAAGGATTTCCTTACAGAATGATCTTTCTCATATGTTGGACCTAAAGAGCACAGTAAGGGAACAACAAATGGCCAAAGGCAGCGAAATCTCAGAACTGGTTTATAGCCCTGAGCTCACTTGTGAGTGAGGGGAGATGGGGCTGGGGCTCTGGCTGGGGCTGCGGTGGCTTAAAGGACAATAAGACAGTGACCCTGAGACAGTGGTGGGGAAAGCAGAGACTCTCGGGTAGAGTGTGGTGCTAGAATGTTGTACGCATGAAACCATCATTAACAGTATTATAAATTATGGGTGGCTAAAATAAAATAATAAAGTAGGTGGGGGTTTGAGGGTTAGCAGGAAGAAATATCTCCAATATTTCTAGTATGTAGGTAGGGTGAGAACTATTACCAGGTGTTATTTTACAACAGTTTCACTAGGGGAACAAAAGACTGGAAATTGCTTTTCTAATTTAAATTCATCTAAATGCTAAATCAGGCATCATTCATGGGGACCTTTGTCATTTATGAATAATGCTTCCCCATGATCTGGAAAAGCCTGAAAACTCACTGCTTAGAGTGGATCTTACTCCTTAACCTCCATCCTTTCCCCCTGATTCCTTGTTCCTTCGCAGGTACCCCATCTTCTCTCCAGGCCAGTGGCCTTAAACCAGCTGAGCACACTGGGATTTGGGGTTTGTTTTCTCATCCCAGAGATGTGTCAGGTCTCCCCTTGGAGACTCCTAGACCTGATGTTTCAGTGACCTCAGGACTCTGCTCAACTGGATTGCTCTTTTACACATCTGGGTCCTCCCCTACTTGAGTTCTAACAGCAAAAGGCATAGCTCCATCCTCCCATAACGGTGGCTCCTGACTGTGCTAGCAGACAGGCCTTAGACTTTGGGACCTTTTGGATCAACAAGGAAAATGTCTACTGGGCCAATTACTGTCTAATTGTGCGAGAAGGTGGCAGAGAGCAGGAGCACCCGCCAGAGCCGCCACATGCAAATCTTTCCAAAGCTGTCCTAGCAGCCTCACAGACTTCATAGACATCAGTGCCCATGAGTGCCAAACCATGGGGAAACTTCTATCTGGTAGGCTTCTGTCACTAACTAGATGAATGCAGACACAATAAATTTGGCTACAAAAACATGAAGAGGTGACTTTAGGGATTATGTAGTAGGACAGGTGGGAGAGGCTTTTTGGGGGGAAAATGATAATATAACTGGCTTCCACAAGTTCCTGGATGGCAGAACAATGTTAGTGAATATGCTAAATGCTTGGGACTTTTGTGTTTCTGCTTCAGTATGCAAAGACCCAAGGCTATCACGGTACCATGCTCCTAGATCCTACTTTACCCAATTGACTTTTGAGTAACAAAATTCTTGGTAATCCCTGGGATCTCTTCCCTGAAAATCCCATGGTGTGAAAGGTGGTCTCTAAGACATACTTGAACTACAGCCTCCTGATTAGAGTCTCACTTTCCTGCTCATCCAGTTCTTCTCAATCATTTGGATCCTCAGAAATAAGAAGTCTTCAGAGTGCGGTTTTGTGAAGCTGTTTTCTTTCTGCATCCTTCCATAAAGGATAGGTTTTCACTTTGCTGCTCCTGACCTCTGACAGAAGTCTTGAATATTACAGAAAACATGCTCCTTGCACTTCTCTTTGACCGAACTTCTTCCCCAGTGCAGTTTCTAACCCTCGATGTACTCCATGCACACCTGCCTAGACAACAGTGACAGCCTGCCTCCTCCTTGAGCCAGGACCACCATGAGCAGCACTGAAGTGTCTACTGGACTAGGAGGATCGCCTTCTACATGGGAAACTGTAAAGTGCTCCATGGAAATATGCAAGGCACTGACAAAGTTAACTCAAAATATTCTCCATGATGATTTATTTCTCTTCCATGAAAAGTTTGGATATGGAAACTCTCTTACAATCACACTGCTCTTTATTACATTTATTTATTTATTGGGTTGGGGCTACACCCAGACACTCTTAGGGCTTACTCCTGGCTCTGCATTTAGGGTTACTCCTGGCATTGCTCGGGGGACCATATGGGATGCTGGGGACTGAACCTGGGTCGACCATGAGCAAGGCAAGAAGAGCTTTACCTGCTGTCCTATCTCTCTGGATCCTATTATTACACTTGAAAAGTTCTTCCCCCTTCTCTTCTTTATGGTTGCTGAGATGATAGAGAGGAGGGTGTGATCACACAGACTTGACTTGGGTCTGCAGAGGTGGCAAGCTTCATTTTGGCGTGGGTAAATTGCTGTGCCTGTGTGTGGTGTCAGCAAACTTGCCAGGGAGCCACAAACTTGCAAGACAGGTACTCTGCCCCTCTGAGTCTCCTATGGGTGCTATGAAGCCCGTTTTTCATACAAAAGAACTCACAAAGTAGATCTGTGGATTTTGACCCAGATTAACACTTTTTCTAGCACAGCCACTGAGGGTTTATTTCAATTGTGATTTCGAGCGGGGGAGGGAGGTAGACCTTACGGGAGATGGAATTTTGGGAGGCTGTTATTTTTAGAAAAATTATGAATACTAATTTTGTTCAGACCTTCTGGAACAGTGTCAACACTGTGGCGTCATAGTCCTTTTGAATGAATGAATATAATGAAGGAAAAGGATCATGCGTCCGGACCTGTATGATACCGCTAGGTGGCAGTATAGTACAAAATGTGAAAAGCTGATTCACACAGGGGATTGGAGAGTCTCATTCAAAAATGTTGGCACCTATAAATTCTATACTGTGCTTTGCAACTGCGGAGTCTCTTTGTTGTGATAGAACTCTGGGAAAAACAACCTGATTTCCCTGAAGGATCACAGGAGTCTGCAACACTTTCAATACAGGGCAAGGAACTGGAATGGTGATACAGTTAGCTCCTTTAACTTTCTTACCAACTTTCCCCTTTTTGGTGTTACAGTACTTTCAAATTGCATTTATTATAAAGCAAAAAGAAAGTGTTTCACATTACTTCTTCAGTAATTTTAATGAGCTTTGGCTTTACTAATCATTTAAACCATATTAGACTTTATTTACAATGATCTTCTTGCCACACAGTAATCACATCCACTCCCCCCAACCCCCATATTTGACAAGATTTTCAGAAACTAACACTTGTTTCATAGAGTAAGGAAGGATAAGGACACACCTGCATGGCACAAAAGAGCGTTCTAGCAAGGGACCCAGTTTTTTGTCCACTGTAAGTGACTAACAGAGACCCTCTTCTCTCACCCCTAGAATCAATGCTGGGCTTCTAATTTCATTAGCAGATAACACTTGGACACTGACAACTTTTTGGACTCAAGCTTGAAAGGTTAATAAACCAGCACTTGTGCTTTAATATCAACCACTAAAGATCAGTCTCTAAAGATTACAGACGCAGGTTTCTATTTTGTTGTTGCTGTTTACAGAGTTGTCTGGAATATTATGCCACTAAAGAGAATATTGGTGCATAAGGAATTCAATAAGCATGGAATTATTAGTTATTTTCCATTCAATACGGTGGTCAAAACTATAGAAAATGCCCTCAAATTTTGACTTGATAATTTCAGTAGAAAGTTAACAGCTAGCTAATGCACACTACACTACCAAGTCTGTGAATCACGAGGTGGTTTAGATGCAAAGACTGGGTACCAAAGTTACAAAACAGTAATTCTTTAATGAATAAAACTTCTGGGAGAATTTACAATGCCTCTGACTTGAAATATTAAAATCGGCATGATAGCTCAAGTAGGTGTTCTTCTTGCACATCTAATTTTAAAAATCCAATTAACACCAAGAATGACTCTGGGAAGGATTTGCAAAATGTTTCCACCAAGAAATTCTTCTTAAAAGCCTCTTACTTGAGTAAGATCAGTCAAGGAAGTAGTTTCCATCCTATTCATTAAAAAAATCAAACCACTAAATATTCCTATTAGGAAAAATAAAGAGAACAAACATCTTAGTAGGATGCAGAACACAAATTCTCTCCCATCCCACAATGTTTGATGCTCCCATCATTAGCAAGGTAGCTGCCCATTTCTTATTTTGATTGACAGGTTAATAAGGGACCTGGGGCTATCTTTTCAGTATGAACACACAACCTTACCAATTACTTTTAAATTATTGCTAATCTGTCAGAAAATAACAAGCAGGAGGAATAAAAATATCTGAAGAAAAGAGAAATGTCTGCTGAAGAAGCTTTAACTTCCGGTACTTTAAAAGGTCCAGTTCAGAAAACTTGCAGGAATTTAGTCAATAGAATTTAGGCACTGAGGTTTTTTTTTTTTCCAAGAAAAACTTGTAGTTTATAATAGTTCATTGGTTCAATTAGGAGCGAAAAAGAAGGGAGTTTTGTAATGCAATTGTCCAGCAAAGGAAAACGCTTTAAATTGGGGGATTATGTGCACAGACCACCTGTAGGGCATTCAGAACCCTTTTCTATAATGCTTCAACCCATGCCTAGCTGCCAGCAGGCTGGCTAACAATGCGGGGAAAAGCTGTTTAAAAGGCTGAGCGCACTTGGGCCTCTGGGCTTCACTAACTGTTACAAGTCTTCCTCTCCCTCGCTCTCCTTTTTAAAGTAAAAGTCCCACATCCCTTTAATAGAAGAACTTTAAGGCTCCGCGGTGGCCAATTGGTCTGCACTAAGAGGAGCCGGGCAGCAGGGAAAGAAACTTCAGACTATACAGCACATTTGGAGAGGAGAAAAGATCAAAGTTTTTCCAACTCAAAAGACCAAGTTCCCTACAGATTAACCCTATTCATTTAGCTCCTCTTAAAGGAATGATGTGCTGAGCCACTGGGCAGACAGGTAAAAAGTTCAACAATTGCCAAAGCGTTCTTCTGCTAATTCAACAGCCTTCTGCTCAAATAAATTAGCTTAGTCTTGACAGAGGAACAATAGCTTTTTTCTCTAGGAAAAGCAGCACATTTGATATACACAAGCATGGAAGGTTATTAAGACGTTAACCCGTTGGTTTAATCCATTAAAGAGCTCCTGCTCCACTCCCAGATTGTGGAGTGACTTATACTGTAGGGAAGTGTCATCTGCGGTAGAAAAACGTTAACTCCTGCACTGCTGAAATGGAGGGAGGGCAGATTACTGCAAAACCAGGTGCTCGGAACCACCAAGCCATGACTGTGTTGTCTGGGAACCTTTCACACAAGATAAACCACGAGGCCTGAGTGGAATTAGCGCCTAGCAAAGGATCCTCTAAGGTGTGTGGTTATCCACGGATGGGGAAGGAGCTATCATTCAAAACACCACACTTGGGGCAGCTTCAAGAACTCCCATTGACTTCAGTTCCATAATATTTACTTTGCTAACAACTTAAGAACTAGAATTTAACAGGTGATGGTCTCCACACCTAAGTCAGTGTACAGAAGGAGATGCCAGAAGATAAATGTCCATCTCCCCAACAGGCCCCACCCTCAGCCCGACACATGTCCTTAGCCAACACTTACAGGGTAACAGCTTTGAAGAGGCAGGGGGAGGGGATAATGCTTAAATCATTTATCAAAAGTCATTTTATTGACAAAATAGAATACTTATAATTTGTTCTTACAGGGGTGGCCTCTAAACTTTTTACAAAAAAAATGTACAGGCTGTATGTATATCTTTGGATATGTACATATTTTACACGTTTGTTTGTCTTTTTTTTTACACAATTTAACAAATAATTATATAAATACATCCTCTAATGTAAGAAACCCGTATTTACTTGGGGTGTACAATTAAGACATTTTTGTTTGTTTGTTTAAGGCATCTGCCTGGTCATTAAGAAGACCCAAACCGTGCAAGCCCGTCAGATCGTGCAACCCCTCTCTGCTAGAAGAGAACGCGTTGACGCAGAAATGCGAGAAGCAGGTTCCTCTCCCGGGCATTCTGTAGATGGGACTTCAAGCTCCGCACAAGGCAACCAGAGAGGGCTCCAGACCTGGGCTGGCACGGCGCGGCAGAGTCCACCCTCCTCCGGACACAGAAGGTAACGCCTGGCGGGAAGAGCTCCGCGCACGTCGGTGGAGGCCAGGGGGGCTGGGGCTGGAGCCTTCAATGCCAGGTACTTTGTTCTAAGTGAGTCCTTTTAAGTCCCAGCTAATGGATACCATTAAGAGTTCATTATCATGCTAATAGCAATCAACACGGTGAAGGGGTGGGAACCTGGGACCCCTCGGGGGTCCCTCCGCAGCACTGGGTCTCCAGGACCCCCCCAACCCCGCCCCCTTCCTTCCGGGTGCCCCCTCCCTTCCCTCAGACCTGGGACAATGGCATCTGCTTTGGATAAGACACGGAGCTGGCCGTGCCAGATCGCCACGTCAGGCCGGTGCTGACGTCGCTGTAGAGGGAGCCCGCCCCGCCGCCCGGTCCCCCGCCCCCGCCGGCGCCCAGGCCGCCCCCGCCCCCCGGCCCGACGGCGCCCCCTGCCGCCACCGCGCCCGCGCCCCCCGCCACCGCCGCGCCCTTGCTGGCCCAGCAGCAGCGGGTGCACAGGGCCCGCCACGACTCGAGCGTCTTGCCCGACCAGACCCACACGCCCGACGTGATGCCCACCACCAAGCACATGAAGTACTTGAGCATGAAGACGGCGTAGTCGGGCCGGCGCGCCTGGTCCGGCTGCAGGTCCCGCAGGCACGGGCAGTTGTGCGTGGCCTCCCAGCGCGGGCGGTTGTGCTGCTCGTAGAAGAGGCAGGCGACCACCACGGCGGCGGGCACGGTGTAGAGCACGGTGAAGAGCCCGAGGCGGATCATGAGTTTCTCCAGCTTGTGCGTCTTGGTGGGGCCGCCCTGCTGCTTGATGACCGAGCGGATGCGGAAGAGGGACACGAAGCCGGCCAGCAGGAACATGGTGCCGATGAAGAGGTAGATGACCAGCGGCGCCAGCACGAAGCCGCGCAGGTTGTCGAGGCTCTGGTTGCCCACGTAGCAGATGCCCGCCACCGGGTCGCCGTCCACCGAGCTGAGCGCCAGCACCGCGATCGACTTGACGCTGGGCACCAGCCACGCGGCCAGGTGGAAGTACTGCGAGTAGCCGGCGATGGCCTCGTTGCCCCACTTCATGCCAGCCGCCAGGAACCACGTGAGCGACAGGATCACCCACCAGATGGAGCTGGCCATGCCGAAGAAGTAGACGAGCAGGAAGACCACGGTGCACAGCGCCGGGCCGGTGGTCTCGTAGCGCACGTGCTGCTCCACGGCGCCCAGCTCCTCGTACTCGCCGCGGGCCCCCGGGCCGCCCGCGCCCGCGCCCGCCGCGCCCGCGCCCGCTGCGGCGGCAGCCGCCGCGCCCCCCGCGCCCCCCGCGCCGCCCGCGCCCGGCGCGCCGCCGCTGCACGCCACCTTCTCGTGTCCCGCCACCAGGCGGACCAGGTAGCCCACGGACACGAAGAGGTAGCAGGCGGACAGGAAGATGATGGGCCGCTCGGGGTACTTGAAGCGCTCCATGTCGATGAGGAAGGTGGACACCGTGGCGAAGGTGGACACGAAGCAGAGCACGGACCACAGGCCGATCCAGAAGACGGTGAAGGCGCGCTCGTCCTGGCTGAAGAACGGGTTGTGGCAGGGCAGCGCGCAGTTGGCGATCTGGCCCGTCTTGACGCGGTTGTAGAGCGGGTGCCGCTCGCTGGACACGCTCACCATGGGCGCGCGGCACTGGCAGCCCGGCTCGCAGGGCGCCGCGCCGCCGCCAGGGGGCCGCGCCTTCCCGCCGCCGCCGCCGCCGCCGCCACCGCGCGCGGGGGGCGCCGCCGCGTCCCCGCCGCCACCGCCCCTGCCGCGGGACGGGGGCCGGGCCCCGGGCGGGCGACCGTGGCCGCTGCCCGAGGGCGGTTGCTCGCCGGGAGGCGGCGGGGGCAGGCGGCGCGGCGGGCTGGGCGCGGCCGTGGTGAGGTCGGTGCGGTTGTAGTCCATGCACAGCGTGTCGGGGTTGCCCTGCTCGGGCAGCCGGTCGCAGCGCATGCGGTCGGGCCAGGCGAAACCGTACTGGCGCATGAGGGGCGCGCAGCCGGCCTTGGCACGCTCGCACACCGAGCGGCACGGCGGCAGGGGCTTCTTGTAGTCCTCCAGGCAGATGGGCGTGTACATGCTACACAGGAAGAACTTGAGGTCGGGCGAGCACTGAATCTCCACCAGCGGCCAGAACTGGTGCACCTCCAGGCCCGCCTCGTCCTGCGTGTCGTGGTTGAACTGGTTGGGCATGTAGGTGTAGTTGTAGCCGATGCCCTTGCACAGCGGCACGGTGATCTCCTGGCACGCCAGCTCCTTGGCCGAGGCGGCCGCCGCGCCGCTCGAGCGCTGCAGCAGCGCCAAGGCGGCCAGCAGCGAGGTCACTTCCAACAGGTAACCCCACTCCATGCTGCGCGCCTCGGTCCTGGCCCTCCAGGAGGGGCGCGGAGGAGCGCCGGGGGACCCCGGAGTCAACTGCAGGAGGGGGAGGGCGGGTGCCCCGCGAGTTTCTCTGCTGCCTCTCCGGGGAGGAGGGTCCGTGGAGCCGGGGGAGGGGCGACTCTAGTCCCTTCCCGGGACGCGTCCACTCGGCGCAGTCCGAAGTCCGGGCAGGGGCAGTCCGTACCTCCCTTCCGCGGCTCCGGGGAGCCAAGGGTGGCTGCAGGCGTGCACCCGAGTCTCCGGGTGTCCGCCCGGCTCACTCCCGGTCGAGCTCAGCCCTGGCGGAGCCAAGTGGCTGGCCCGGGCGCATCGTCCCCCGCTCGCTGGCTCTCTCTTCCGCGCGCGCGCGCGCGCGCGGCCACTACCCCGCGCGGCGCCGGGGACGGTGACTTTGCCCGGCACGCAGAGGGGCTGGCGGCGCGGCAAGTTTCCTTTCGGGCCGCCGTGCGCAGTCAAGATGGCTGGGCCAGGCCGCTCCCCGCGCCGGGTCAGCCCTCACGGCCCCCTTTCGGCCCCCGCGGGCTCATGCCCGCCCCCGAAGCCGCGCTGCCAGCCGCCCAAGTTCGAGACCCGCCTCCGCCGAGGCCGCCGCCCTCTTTCCCACCCCCCGCTTCGGTCCGTCTGTCCGCCGGCGGGGACCGACGGACCCCGCCTCCGGTTAAAAAGTCCGAGCCACACTCCAGCCGGCAATCCAGCGACGCGCAGGCAGTCCCGTTCGGGCTCCAAGCAACACCAAATCCAGACCAGAAGGCGGAGCAGACACCTGAGCGGTACGGCCCGCGCCCCGCCGCCGCCGCCGCTGCCGCCGCCGCCGCTGCCGCCGCCTCCAGAGGAGCAGCGCCCTTCACCCAACTTCACCGCTCCGGTCCCGCTTGCGCCGCCCGACCGGCTCATGAATATTTATACAGCGCGGACCAGGTCTCCACCCCCGGCCGCGCGAGCCAATCGCCGGACGGCGAGGGAGGAGTCTACTCGCTCCCAAGACTCAGCGTTCCTTAAGGCGGCGCGGAGTGCACGGCGGACTGTGCGTGCTTTCTGCGGTTGCTGAGTTTGGGTAACCTTGGGGTTGACCGCCACTCGGGTCCCTACGGCGCTCAGTGCGCCCGAGGTCTTGGTGCCAGTTCCCTCCGCGTCTGTGCTTGAGTCTTGGGACGGGGTTGATGCCTCCTGGGGCCTCGTCTAGGTGCTTTTCCAAGCAGCCACGTCCCTGCCCGCTGCTCTCCGCTGACAGGGGAGGAGGGACCCCGCGCCCCTCTGTGGGCCGGGGTGGCAGGGAAGCCCCTCTGCAAAGGGGGAAGAATCCTCTGGGACCTGCCCCGGCGGGGCGCTGAGGTCCGAAAAAGGACTGTCCGTCCGGGGTGTTCTTAAAACGGTGGTGTTGGAGTGTGCAGAGGGTGGAACGACGAGGTAGTTCATTCCGGAAAGTGGGGCTGAAGCTGAGGTGGCTCGGGAGGCGCGCGGGGCGCGGGGTCGGGACCTCGACCTCCCGCCTGCGCTGAAGGACCTGGGGGGAATCGCGGTTTTCCTTACTTAGAGTGCAGCAATGGGGCTCGATCTCGAAGAAGCTTCTAGATCATTAGGTGAAATGAAAGATGCAAAGTATGCGGGGCATTGCCTTCCCTTATGAAAAATGACCTTCAAATAAAATACGGAAAAAGGAAAGGGGGGGGGGAAGAAAAACAAATAGGAGATAACGAGAGACTCCGCAGCTGGATTCTTTCCCTTCGCCTTGTACTTTTGGAACATGTATACGTGTGTCCAAAGTTCACATGTTTTTGCCAGAGCCTCCTTTCCTACCGGGGAGGCGGGGCTGAGCCCTGGCGCGGACGCGCGGACACGTCTCGGTGGTCTGCGCCCAGCGCCGCGGCCGCGAGCGGCTTTGAGCGGCGACTTGGGACGCGGCCAACGCGCGCTGCCCCCGCCAGCTCCGCAGCCACCTTAAGACGGGGAGGGGGACGCGGAGGCCCGTGGGGCCGGCGGCCTGGCAGGTTCATTTACGCTTGTTAGGACGTCCCAGGGGGTTGTCTTTCTCCTAGAATGGAGTGTTTATTTTTTAATTGATGTGCTGTTTCATTTAGCGCTTGTATGGAACTCACGCTGGGGCTGTAATTACTGTAATCTCGGGAACAAGCATTTCAGTTAGCCAGGAGGGTGGCAAAATAGTTCTCTCTCTCTCTCTCTCTCTCTCTCTCTCTCTCTCTCTCTCTCTCTCTCTCTCTCTCTCCCCTCTCCTCTCCTCTCCCTTATTCATTCTTTCCTCTCCCCGTTCATTCTCTCTTCTGATCTCTCCTCTCTTTCCCTCCCTGATTCTACACCCAACCCCCGCCCCCACCTCAGCTTTCTGTTACAAAATTTTTGCCATTTGTCATGTTTCATAGCAGGAGCGAGCTGGAACATAGAACAAAGTTGTGAGGGTGTGTGTGGGGACAGAAGGAAAGAGTCCTATTACAAGGGTATATTTGAGATCACCTTAGTTTTTTTTTTTTCTCGCGAAGGGATGGTGACAGATGGTGGCTATCTATTTAAAAAACAACTTTTGTAATGAAACAAATAACCAGCAGCATAAATATATTGAGCTATTAGAATATAAGTTCCTTCTTATAAGTTCCCTGCACCTCTCCCCCCACCACGCTCCGCTTAGTTTTGCACCTTATTTTACACCCGTTCTAAATAGACAGGTTAAACTTGCCCCTAGTCCGTTTTCTAACAAGCGCTGCATTTTTTTTCTTTTCGTTTTTTTTGGGCCACACCTTGTGTGGTGCTCAGAAGCTACTCTTGGCCGTGCACTCAGGGCTCTGCACCCCTTGCGGTGCTCAGGGAGCCATAAGGGGTGGTCAGGGATAGAACTCCGCCTCAAGGAAGGCAAAAGCCCTCCCCGCTGTTTGTATCTCTCTGGCCCCAAGTTCTGCATTTTCACAGAAAACTTGAGGCATAGCCAGAGAGTAAGGAATGGAGTTTATAACCTAACCCGTCCCCCCACCGCGACACTTTCTCACTTTCCGCCTCTCCCGCTTTCCTCTCCCTCTCTCTCAAAATTAAAGTCTAATCAGTACTTCTTTATAAATAAAACAAAAACATTTCCTTCCCAGTTTTGTTTTGAAATAATCAATCCCACAGGGATCTTATCCAAAGGTTTCAGAAAAATTAGCTGATTCAGCAAAAAAAGGGGGGTTGGGGGAGAAAAGAGAAAGGAAAGAAAAGAAAGCCCATTCATTCAGAAACGCTCCATCCTTACTCCCCACCCCCACTCCTTCTTCAATTCTTTTTGCTCGCCACCTAAGCGGGGAATCCTCTTCCAAGGTTTGCGGACTGTAGAAAATCACCTCTCTTTTGTTGGCTCCCTGTTAACTTGTCTTTCTTCAGAGCTTTCAGCGGTGGGATAACCACAGGTAACTCCCTGAATTCAAGTTCCAGCGCCGAGGTGGAGGCGGAAGCCCAGCCGCAGCCCGGAGCCGCGTCGCCAGCCCGCAGATGGGAGGGGCTCGCTTTCAAAAGCAACGCAGATGGTGAAAAGTTTCTCCTCCCTTTCTTCTGCAAGAAAATGTCAAGTAGTGAAGTTTAGAATTACACTATATAAATTTATTAGAATTAGGTAAAAAACAAACTGACATTTAAAAACCGAGTTTTTTTTTTTGAGTTGATTTTGGCTTTTAATTGGCATTTTTTCCCCCTTTTTTATTTTAGACAAGCTGAAAGCTTTGATGATGTGGAAACTTTTGGTAAGCCTATGAAGCTTGCAGAAGAGAAGAAGTAGACGAAAGTTCAGAGCCTTCAAAAATCGTGTTATAAGCTATTTGGGGGATCCTACTGATATGTGAGATTAAGACTATCTCCATGAAAATCATTACGCATAGCATTTAACTTTTGCCATTAAATTAAATGGCAACTGGAAGGTCTTTGAGATGAGAAGAGACTTACAAAGCCAATTAGTATATAAAAGGCAGTGACAGGCCAGCTAAAAGATACCAGAGTTGTTTTTATCAACTCTGCTGGCTAAATAATGATTATTTTTCCCTTTTGTATGTAAAGCAGCTGTTTTTTTTAGTGGGGGGAATAGCTTTAGTAATGACATAAATAATGTAGGAAACTTTCTAGAGGGATTGCTGAACAGATGTCCTGTTACTGAATAGCCCACAAGCATAATAACAACTGAAGGCAGGAACCTCATGGAAGAGAATGTTTCACAAAGCACTGTATACCAAGTGAGGTAAGAAATTATCAATAGTATAGTGAACATCTCAAATTTAAGAAGCTTTAGAAAATTAGGTTTTGGTGGGTTACAGTTTAAAAATCCAATATGAAAGTCTTGATATGAGTGAGTCTAATAATATATATCCCAATAAAATGATAAACTCAGAAATCAAACAGACAGTAGTTTGGTCACTAATGAAAATTCTCAGGTGTTCTATAAAACAAGTGTTATTTCTTGGGATATAACAAAAAATTAGAAAATTAGGAAGAATTGTTTTCATTCAGGGAAACAATCAAGCACGATATTATTAGAGAATATAAAGCTCTACAAGGAGATATTGGGATTTCTTAATGATGTAAAGTCTGTATTACAAAGGACTGTGACACTCATACCATAGACATAGGTGAAAGTAAATATGTCAACTGGGGGGCAGCTGGAGAGATAGTACTGTGGGCAGGAGTTTGCCTTGCATGCGGCTGACCCAGGTTCAATCCCCAGCATCCCATGTAGTCTCCTAGGAGTGATGCTGCCAGGAGTGATCCCTGAGTACAAAGTCAAGAGTAATCCCTGAGAAAAGCACCATGTGGCTCCAAACCCCAAACCAAACAAATAAAAAGTCAATTGGTTTTGCTTCAATCTTCATTAGAATTAAAATGGATAAAATTGTTTTTATATTCATCCAGATAAATATGAGACTCTACTAATGGGTTTTCTCTTCCAGGCAGGGGAGATGGTTCAAGGGACTGGAATGAGTAGTTATATGCTGGAACCCTAGGTTCGATCCCAGTCATCAACTGAAAGAAGTCACTGGGTGTGACCCCAAAACAAACATACAAAACCCCAAAACAGCAATAAGTAAATAAAGACTTTGCTCTTCTATGCCCTTTATCACTAGGAAACTGTCAGAAGGCCAATCTCTGCTGTGTCTGTTGTAACAAGGCCAAGCTTCTAATGGATGCAGATAACGGAGGTAAAAAACATAGCGCCAGCCCAGGAATCATATTCTCATTTTCCATACAGGTGGCATTTACAAAAATGGTGCCAGCACTCATTCATTTTACAATTATTCTAGAACATGTTTAAAAATAATCATTCAATTTCTCCCCTCATTCACACAGACTATTGTCCAGATGCTAAAACTCCTATGACATAGAATATAGTATGTATTTGTTCACAACTTTCAGGTGCAAAGGATACCTTCTGAATAAAACTGGTGTAGATAAGAAGGACACTTAATTTCATCTATCCAACAATATAAAGCAGGAGGAAGTGCACCTTGATTCATTGGTTGATTATGTGTGGCAAGGATTGATTTCTTTTGGTTACCTGGACTCTGGTGGGGGACCTCCCCCCACTTTCCTCTCCCCACTACCATTCTATGACAGATCCTCCCACTAAGCATCTTTGATCAAAACAAAACCTTTCCCTGAGGATCTTTGTCTTGGGGTGGGGGAGGGCCAGGGTTGCATCTCTCTGGGCAGAAGCTTCCACTGACCTTTAGCTGCAAGGGAATCTTGAAAGTGAAGATTTGATGGTAATAGCCAGGCTCTTATGACGAAGACGCTGAGGAAAGGAGGATGGCAGACAGATAGCAGCCACACATCACTCTTTGAAATTAACTTTCAAACAACATCACTGAGCCAACACGCC